TCAGTCCCGGCAATCGTTTCGGGGTGCGTTTTGAATCGGTGATCTTGGCTGTACGATAGGCCTCAAGGCCTTGTCACACTCCAGCTTGACAGCAGTAGCGAAAGCATCGAGTCCAGGTCCAGCAACAGTACTGTGCTCCGCTAGCCTTGAGAGAAAGACAACATGAATGTGGGTGCCACGGGATTGCTGTCCTCGCATGCGACTGTCGTGATTGCAATTGTCCGTGATCGTTTGTGTTCAAGCGTCACATACCAGCCCCCCCCCCCATTTAACGCAGGGTTCGTTTTGAATCGATTCTCCTGGCTGTACGATAGGCCTCAAGGCCTTGTCACACTCCAGCTTGACAGCAGTAGCGAAAGCCTCGAGTCCAGGTCCAGCAACAGAACGGTGCTCCGCCAGCCTTGAGAGAAAGACAGCATCATCATCATCATCATCCACCATCCACCATCCACCATCACCATCATATTCACATCATACTCTCACCATACCATGGTCATCATCATGGTATGGGTAGGTGGTCCTGCGCGATCGGAGAGTAACAAGAACCCAATCCTTTGGATATGGGGAATAGCAAGAACCCATCCTTAGGATATGGGCAGTAAGGAGCAGTGATAACCCCATCCCATAATTGGAAGAAGGGGTTTGGAAGAGCGACTCTACCAAACCGCACTCACTAAAAGGCTGGTGTGTTTACAACATGGCGGCAGAAGACCATAAAGAGCACAATTGAAGAGCAGAGGGGGGCACCATTCTGCACTGCACATACGAGGGACCACACGGGAGGAGACCATACGGGAGACCATACGGCCAATTTCATCCAATTCAGTCACATCTCCCCCGATCCCCTTCCACTCCGCCCCATTCCATCCAGCCCCACTCGCCTCTGCCCCGTCCTACTTCCCACCCCCTCTCCTTCGCCCTCTTCCACCTCATCAATTCCGTCAATTCCGTCCCATCCGACGTCGTCCGATCCGATCCTCTCCATTCTGCCTGTACCCCATCATCAATTCAATCAAAGTTCCCTCCACTCCGTCACGCATCCCACCCCATGATGTATCATCGCATCCGATTCCCTTCCACTCCTTCCCCATCCAGCCTCATCGCAACCCATCCCCGATCCCCTTCCCCTCTGCCCCCATCACTCCTCTCGTCCACATATTGTCGAACCCCCTCTCCTCCCACCTTGTCTCTTAGTTCACACCTCGGTGTCACGGCGCCCGCCCGTGACCGCTGTGGTGGCGTGCGATTGCACTTGCAGGTCTCAAGCCTGTCCTCATCATGGGGGCCGCGTCAATCATACGCTGGCACCGGTCCTGGACGGGCCAGTCGTGGGCCCAGGACTTGCCTGGACAAGATGAGCATTGATATAGTCGGCGATTGAGCCTATGAGCCAACGTTACCGTCGCCACATGCCCCATTCTCAGCCAAGCCGCTGCCTGACGGGTGGCCATTTACAGGCAGCCGTTGCCGCAGGAGACGATCCACCGTGAGGTTCGCTCGAAGGGTTTGCAATCGGCAAGGCGGTCAACTAGGTCACCCGCAGGGGTGCAAAGATAGTCGTGCCTCGCGGTCCAGGCCGCCGCAGAGTTGTCGTGCTTCGGGTCGCGGTGGGAGAGTCAATGAGCGCAGAGTGAGGTGACCAAGATTGAGGCACGGCGTACTCTACATGGGGTGAAAGCAGCGGCAGGAGGAGGAGGAGGAGGAGATTACCAAGAGATGTGAAGAGGCCGTTGTGTGTGTTTTTTCTGGTGATGTATTGTCTCCATCCGTCCGTGGGGGATCCGCCTGTAAAGCCGTGGCCGCCCGGGCAGGAGGCTGCGACTTGCTCGTCCTCGTTGCCGTCACGGGGAAAACATCGAGCCTCGAACTCCGATCCGCTTCTCCCTTCTCGAACCTCCCCCCAGAGGCCCGAGTCACTCCCCTCGATCCTCTCCTCGAGCCTCGATCCTCGAACCCTATCTCAAGGGGGGAAAAGCCACCCGGACCCGACAACTGACGTTTACAAATCGGCCCTGGGCGTTTACTAACCAGCCCGCAACAGCCCTTCCCTGTTCGATTCCTCCCGTGGGTGCGTCTACTGCACGGCTTCGCCTGTCGGGGTGGTTATCATGGGGGGGTGTTCGGCCCTCTCCTCTCCCCCACCCTCGCGTCCTCGTTGCCGTCGCAGGAGAGACGTCGACCCGCGAAGTCCGATCCGCTCCTCCATCAATCTCGACCCTCCCCCCGGAGGCCCGAGTTACTCCCCTCGATCCTCTCCTCGAGCCTCGATCCTCGAACCCTCTCCCCCACCCTCGCGCCGCCTCCGACGGAATTCGGGCCAGCGCGCGCTGTGCTGCGCCACCCGCCACGGGGCCACCGCGGCGCGCCGCAGGGGCGGCGGCGCCGGCGGGGTCCTCGCCGCGGCCTTAGGCCGCGGCCCCCCCTTGGGCGCAGGCTGCTCGGCCTCGCCGCCCGCGCGCTCGCCGACCGGCGCCCCTGGGCAGAAGTGCGCCAGGCCGTGAGCCTCGGATGTCTCCTCCTCCGCCTCCTCCTCCTCCTCGTCCTCTTCCTCCTCCTCCTCCTCCTCCTCCTCCTCCTCCTTCTCCTCCTCCTCCTCCTCCTTCTCCTCCTCCCCTTCCTCCCCTCGCTGCACGGGCGGCCGCGGCTGCGGCTGCTCCTCCCCTCTGGGCCTCCCAGATGGGGTCGGAGAAGACGTGATCCGAGGATCGCGCCGCATCGCCGATGCATCGTCGATGCGTCTCGATGCGGAGCCCGAGTTCCTTCACGCGGACGTCGCCGATGCGTCGCCGACGTCACCGATGCATCGCCGATGCATCGCCGGTGCATCGCCGATGCATCGCCGGTGCATCGCCGATGCATCGCCGGTGCATCGCCGATGCATCGCCGATGTATCGCCGATGCGGCGGGATCCTCCGACCCTACCTACTCCGACCCCATCTAGGAGGCCTCTAACTGGCACACCCGTGATGAAACACAACACGTACGGTGCTCGAGACGTGCGTGTTAGCACGCTGCGTGCCGTTTCGGCACGTGTTGGCCCACGTTTCGGCAAGGGCGTCGCGCCAGACCTACGTTTCCAGTCTGCATGTTGAGTTCCGTGTCAACACACTTTGGGCTGCGTGTTGCGTATCCGGGCAGCTAAGCTCCTCCCCGTTTGCTTCACCTCCCCCCCCCTGGCGCGAGGCGCGCGCGCACCGCGAGGCCGATCGGCCGCGTCGCGGGCGACCCGTCTCCTCTTGCTTATCCGCCTCCACCTCTTCCATCTCTTCCCCCCATCCTCTCCAGACGGGTGGATAAGCCAGAATCCGAGAGTGCAGCAGTGCTTCAGACTCGCATTCCTTGTCTGCTTTCCTCTCTCTCTCTCTCTCTCTCTTTCCCTCTGCATCGACATACTTATGTCTGCGTGTATGTATAAAGTGAAGTGTCTTTATCTCGAACTGCGTCGGACGGGTAGGAGTATTTGTCCCTCGGCTCCGTTCAGCATGTGCATTCGATGCAGCAGTTTAGTGCCACGGGTCCCCTGGGGCGCAGGAGGAAGGGAGGACTGTTTCGGATGTGGCCTTGGGCCGCGGGCTGGCCGCTCGCCCCTCAGCCCCTAGAGCAGCGGGACGGCTTCCTGGTCCTAGCGTCTGGTCGGTATCTCCGGGGGTTAAGTTCTTGTTGCTATGGGGTCCGTACCGAAGCAGCGAACAGGGCAATCAGAACCGCAGGGACAGTAAAATCAGATTCCCTCCACCTCCACCCCCTCTTCCCTCCTCTCGATTGGTTCGGCCTGCCGCAGCGAGAGGGCTGTCGCCCACGGCGCACGATCGGCCTCCGCCTGCCCAGCGTTGCCCCTCTTCGTCCGTCCTCCTCTCCCGTCTCCTCGCATGCGGGTCTGGGTTCTCGCTGGTGTGTCGGAACTCCGTCAGGGCATGACCATCGAGTGGCCCTTCGCCCATCCCGCCACGGTGCCTGGGTAGCAAGTAGCTCAGAAGCCTCTTGGATGCCAGTGGGGATCTCTTCGGAGACCTCTTGGAACCCTTTTGGTAGCAGTTTTTGCGGGTGTGTTAGGGGCCTTTGGTGGCCTCTTGGGCCTTGATCCTAAAGAAGATCAATAATTTTGGCCTGTCGGGGCCCTCTTGGGGTGGCCTCTTGGAGCCCTCTTGGGGCCTTTTGGTCCGTCTAGAGGCCATCTTGGACGTGTTGGAGCGATCTTCAGGCGACTCGGAGGCTTCTTGGACCGTTTTGGGAGCAGCCTCTCGGGGCCCTCTTGGTCCGTTTCGGGGCCAGGGCCCTCCTGCCTCCGGAAAGTCGCGCGTGGGCGCTCCCCACTCCCAAAGCCCAGGAGCGCCCTGTACGCGGGGCTGCAAACTGCGCGTCGTGCCTCGGGGCACGGTGGTGGATCTCGGAGGACGCACGTGGGAAGCAGGTCCCCCAGTCCACGTCTGACCCGCATCTGGGCCAGAGACCGGGTCTGGGCTTATGATGTTCCAACCAATTTTAGCCTTGATCGCCAGAAAGAATTTCGAGCACCAGGAAAGTACCGAAATTGGAGGGTTTTCATGTGTCGGGCCTTGGGAGGCGATACGCGTTCGACACTGTTTGGGCACTTTTCTGGGCGCTCGCAATTATTTCTGGGATGTGGTCCTTAAGTACGATGGGAGCAACAGAAGTCTGGGCCTGGGCCTGGGCCCGCGTCTGGGCTCGGGCGCCTGGGTCTTGGCTCGCGTCCTGGCCCAGGTCGGGGTCCGAGCCCAGGCTTCTGGTGCCCGTGTGGGTGTTGATTTGGTCGAGCACGCCAGGCCGAGTCTGGCATTAAATCGGGCGCGGGACATTAAAAAATAGTCAAAAAATAGTCTGGGCACGATTTTTTCGAGCATTTGTTGGACCATTTTTCGGAGCATAGTTTGAGTACTTCTTCCTCCAGAATCCGCCTGTAGGGGGACATGGTCGACCTGAGTCTGACATTCGACAGCTTCGTCGCTCCCTCGCCTCCTCCTCGCCCCTCCCCTGCTCCCCCCTCCCGCACCGCCGTTCTGGATCGAGGCGGTTTGGCTGCGGGCATCGGTGTGCCTCTTCCTCGACTGCTTCGAGTGCGACAGGATCATCTCCGCCGATGGAACAATGCTTTCATTGCAACAAGCCGACGGCATGTTTGGTCACATGTCCGGTTTCCTTGCGGAGATATTTTGTGTGCGCGAAGTGTTGGAGTCGGCCTTGTATCGGATGCCAGACCCGGCTCCATTCGGGTGACTTCGCGGAAGACTCCGACGCCGAGTTCAACGATATTGAAGAGTTCTCTGACGTTTGGTTCGAGTTGAGGGTGCTCGAGACGATGCGTCTGCGTGGGAGGCAGCAAAAAGAGCAAGCGCTCCGTGATCTTGAGTCACGTGTGCAGCATCTCGAACAAGCGCGATTGCGGTTCGCGCTCATAGTGTTCTTTGCTGAGTTAGCTTTCTCGTAATTGACCCTACTCCTGCTGCGCATCGCACGCACCAGACGTTTCTAGCGCCGAGTGTGTCCGAGCTTTGCAGTGCGAAGCCCGCAGTTTGGTTGGAGAAGCCGTGCTACGTCTCGAGCGTCGACGCACGCATGAGGGCGAGACATCTCGTGATGCTCCCTCGCTCCGCCCTCTCCACCTTCCTTCCCTCCCTCCACCAGACGACCCCAGATAGGCCGAAGGAGGCTCCAAGACGGCCCTCAGAGAGTCCCTGGAAGGGCCCCACACGGCCCAAGAGAGCTTCTGGAAGGCCCAAGAGGTGGACATGATGGTCTTGGACAAACCCCAGGGGATTCCAACACAGCCAAAAGCGCTCCCAGAGGCTCCAACGACGCCACAAGAGGGCACCAAGAGAGCTGGTCCTCCACCCAAGAGGCCCTCGCCACGCACACCAGCCCAGGTGTTGTTCAGGTTCCTCCTGTTCCTCCTCCTCCTACTCCTCCTCATCCTCATCCTCCTCCTCCTCCTTCTCCTCCTCCTCCTCCTCCTCCATTCAATGTCCTTAAAAACAATTTCCCCCTGTCGTCCCCCCAGACGTGTCGGTATGGCGGTGCGGGCGTTTAATATGGGACGTTTTCACCATGTATGATCTTGAAGCGTAAAGTCCGCAACGGCTTGACTGATGGAGGGCAGGTGGTTTTCAAAACGTGGTTCTCGCATCTATGCCGTCCACAGTCGGCCCAAAAGTGCGTTACAGCTTCAAGGATGGGGAGACAGGTCGTTATCAAAATGTGATTATCGCATTAGCGCCACGCACATTCGTGTTACAAAATTGCAACAGCTTCACGGGTGGAGGATACGTGGCTTTCAAAATCTGGTCTCGTTTCAGCGCCGCGCACATTCGCTTCAAAATGTTGCAGCAGTTTCAATGAATCGTATGGTTGCAGTCCCAGGATGGTGTTCTGGCACGACTTAGGGTTGTCAGGTCGCAAAGGTCACGTTGATTCGCGGTGTTGAAGTCCCAGCAGTGGTGTTCTGGCACGGCTTGCAATTACCAGGACGCGATAGTAACGTTGATTACAGGAATGGCGTTTTGGCACGAGTGAGGATTCTCAGACAGTTGTCTTCCAATGGGGCCATTCCCGCAGTGAAAACAAATTCTTACAGGGAACTGTGAAGATGGAATTGGGAGGAAGGGTTTACTGCAAAATCGTTGGTGCTTCTTTGGTTTACACTGGTCCTGCTCCTCCTCCTCCTCGTCCTCCTCCTGCTCCTCCTCTCCTTTCCGTCCGTACTGCGACTGGCTTAGTGGGACAGCTGTCCACCATGCGGGCTGCAATGTCTGGAGCTTGCTGCACAGTGAGCAGTGTTGCCCATAGAGTGGCAGACTCCTTTCATCAGCGGCCAGCGCTGCAGGGGCGTGCGCCTCAGGAAGTACGGTCAGGAACTTTGGCTCAGCGTATCACGCCGCCGGTTCTGGCCCACCACGCTCTGGAGCGACACGCTATCCACGTCCAGTCCCCGAGCGTCAATGTCCCGAGCCTTTCTCAGCCTCCCGAGGAGCGAAGCGGAGCGACACGCTATCCGCTCGCAGGGCATAGCGTGTCGCCGGGGCCGCTGCTGCGACACGCTATGCAGAAGGTCCTGACCGTATGACCCCGAGATATAGCACCATGGTGTCGCAGAAATCGGATGTAGACCGTTGGTTGCGCTGATCATTGTCAGCGACTGCAGCGCCACTTGTTTTATCTGAAGGGCTTCGCCCTCTGCCGCCGACCCGCCCACCCCGTCAGACTGGGCCTGATCTGTAGGTTGTTTGGTTTCCTTGTCGGTCGGCTGGCTGGCAACTCGGCTGACTGGCGTGTTGTCTACATTGACGGTTGGCAGTTGATTCGGCATGTTTGTTGATTGGCTGGTTGCGCGCGTGTGTAGTAATTAATGAGAGATGGTGGCCTCGGGAGCGAACGAGTTGCGATGTACTAAAGATTGTGGCTCCAGGGGCGCAACTCTGCCGTATTTGACGTGTCCCAGCGCACCCCCAATAATTCCGACCCCGCGACTCTGGGAGGGTATCTCATGTTTTTTCGGGCCTCTCCTCGCGCAGATTTCAACCGTTACAGCGTTGAAGCTAGAACACAAAATTGTATATCCATGCCAGACAGCGTGGACTCCAAGCAGTGAGTTCTTGCAATATACGCGTTTCAATATGGGAGGTCGAAGCAATATGGTGCAATATAGGTGGTGCCATCCATGTGGCGCAACGCAATGCAAAGCAATGCAATGCGATGCGATGCAAAGCAATGCATCGCAGTGCAACACAATGCCTCGCAATGTAAAGCAACGCAATGCAATGCAAGGCAATGCAGTACAAGGCTATGCGATGCCATGCAATGCAATGCAAAGCGACGCAATGCAATGCAATACAAGGCAACGCAATGCAATGCAATCCAATGCGATGGAATGCAATGCAATGCAATGCGATTGCGATTCAACGCAGCGCGATTGCAACGCAATGCGATTGCAGTGCAACGGGGGGGGGAAAGCAACGGGGCGGCGGCCACGGACGGGAATGGGGCCGCCGGGCCCGCACACGGGCTGTTGGGGTGGAGGCAGGATGCGGCGACGGGGGCGGGAATGGGGCCGCCGGGGCCGCACGCGGACCCGGTGTCTCAGAAGCGAAGTAGGAGCCCCATGAAGTGCAAGCATTGCTCGGAGAAAAACTGGAAGAATTTGGGCCTCGCAGCCTGTTGGCCCCGAAGGGGGCGGCAGATTTCTGTTGCCCGCACCTGTTGGCCCCGAAGGGGGCGGCAGATTTTTGTTGCTTGTGCGTATGTCCGAGGACGGGGGAAGCCTTTGTTGGGAGCACCGCTCCACCCTGTCCCCCTCACTCACCATCTCTGATATGCATCGGGCACTCCTCCGCCTCTTCCATGTTCTTCCACCCCGTTGTTCAAGGCGCTTCTCGTCGTCGGTATCTTCGAGTGTGGACCGTCAGCACGCCAGGATTACATGCGTGGACGGTGGTGTCTCCTGTTGGATAGTCGGCGAGCCGCAGTTCCGCCTCTGGTAGAAGATTTGTGTTCAGCAGGGCCTCTTCCTGCCTGTTTTTTTTGTGATGGAGCGTGGACTGTGCGTTGGCAAGAGTGCCTGTGCCTACAGTTGCGTTTTCTGTCGCCGGCCCATACCATCGATGGAGCTTTTCCGTGCACGGAGTTTGCGATCTTGCGCGGGCTGTATGCGATGGCAGGACTGCTTGTGCCGAGACAGCGGGGAATTACAGTTGGCCAAAACATCTCCCGACATTCGGAGACAGCGGGCGAGGCGGAAACAGCCGAAAACAATGCAAAATCTATTGCAATCACCGAGGAACGTTTGTTACAGACCACCTAAGAGTCCCTCAGTGCAGGCATTGTCAGGGTAGTAGGCAGCCTGCCCCGAGTTGCACGCAGCGGTCATTTCTGATCAGAGGTGGCAGAAGCGTCTTGAGCCTAGAGGCAAAACGGCTGTGAGCCGTGGGGACCATTGACATTCGTTTGAGCTGAAGTGACGGTGGGCACCCCTTTTCATGGTCCACGCTCCTCGCAGGTGTACGAAAGACATTCGATTGGATACAGATACAGCGTAGTCATGTTTGTTCCTACCAATTGGCCCTCAAAATGGGAGGCAGCTTTTGCATCACCGCGGCAAAACCGCTGCAACTACTTTGTGCTGGGACGATGTTGTGTTAGTATATGTTGGATATTGTGCGCCTTCTACTAGCCAGGCCAGGAACGATGCCCAGCAGAACGGTGCCTGAGATGGTTCCAGTCAGCGGGCGCGCAGAATCAAAACGGAAAGAGAAAACGGAATCTTGTAGCGGAAAACGGAATTGGATTTTCCGTTGGTCGTTTTTTGTTTTCCGGTATCAAGTTTCTTTTTCTCCAGTTGTTGAATCCGTTGTTTGTTTTCTTTTCAGTATAGTTTGTCCGTATTCCGTTGTCCGTTCTTTAGTTTTTGTTGTTTGATGTCCGTTTGTTGTTTCCCAGTTTCCATGTTCTGGTTTTTACTGGTTGGTGCCAGTTTTTTGTTTCAGTTCCCCGTTTGCCGTTTTCTGGTTTCCGATTTGTGGTTTTCAGGTTTCCTATGTTCGTTGTCCGGTGTTCGTTTTCCAGTGTACGTTTTCCAGGTGCCGTTTTCCATAGCGTTTTGACATGAATCGCATTTTCATGTTATTGTTTCATTATGTTTCTCATGTCTCCCCCTTCGCCTTCAGTTCGATTCGGGTGAGTTGGCCCGAAAGCGATTCACGGTGCACCCACAGCTGAAGCCGACGCTAAAGTTGAAGTGCACAGAAAAATGGAAAGGTCCCACCCTGCAGGTTTGGTTGACAGCACATCGTCAAACGGTGCTGCAGCCTCCTTCCCTTGAACACAGGCCCCCTCCCGGAGCATCAGCCAGACAAGTCGGATTTGCACCGCCGTGCCTTGCTGGACTGGGCGCGTTTCGGCACAGCCAGCGCCGCCGCCACCCATGCGTCAAGGTCACCGATTCGGGCGACGGCGACAGCGGCAGTAGCGGTGGCCGACGCGTCCACGCTAGGCGGCCTGCGAAGCCAGATTGCGAGGGTTTCCATAACCTGTGAGCGAGAGGGGACCAGGGCGGAAGAGCGGGCGGAGACAGTCGCGGGAAGAGGGCTGGGAGGGGCCCGGCGCTCGTCGCAGGACGCGATGTTATTGACGAAGGCGAACGTTGGACTTCTAGCGCTGTGTGGTTTCGTTGATATCAACGATGGCAATATGCGTGTGACCGCGTTGGGTCTGGGTCCAACGGCCTCTTCAGTGCGAGCAAACAGCTCTCGCGCATTAGCGCAGGCATTGACATGGAATGTGTGGCACGGTTCGACCTGCAGCGTGAGGGCGGAAAGCGCGGCCTGGTCTTGCCGTCATACATCCACCAGCGCGCGGGCGGAAGGCGCGGCAGACGACACGTTCGATTTGGTCATGCAGCTCATCGCCGGGACTGACGTCGCCGAGCTGCAGATCCAGTCTGCCCCAGATCCTTTTCAATTGGAGTCCCTTGCATCACAGCCGCCCAGATAGCCGCCAAAGCCTCGCTCACGACCGTTGCTGACGGCGCCGCCACTGTTGACGGCGCGGCCGAAGAGTGCCTCCATCGCAAAGTACGGTGCCGTTTTGTTCTTGTCGTGGAGACCAAAGAGACTACGATGTCCAATTACAATGTTTTTTTGACCCCCATGTCGACGATGCTCGTCACCACCAGGAGTGCCCGATTTCCCGGCGCGACTTCGAACCCTGAAACCGAGAGGGAAGGGACATGTCGGTCGCGATGTTTGGCACGCGCCTAGCGGTGTCGTAGAATACACTACCACTGGGGTGTTCTGGCCTCTGGGCCCCTTGCATCGATGAGTGTCCTTTGGTGTCCCTTCTGGCCCCCATATGAGTCCGTTGCACCATGGCACGTAGTCCCGTCGCCCGCATTTCCCCGCCTCCCGCACGCGGCGTTCATGGGACCCCGAAGCGGCTTCTTTGGTGGGGAGGGACAGCTGCGCGAGCCCAGCCCCCCTTTCTCATGCGGGAGCATTATCCTCGCCAGTGGCCGAGCCTGGAATCGTCGCCGCCAGATGCGCCAAGTCGATTCCGTGATTACGCCGGCACACGGTGAGGGAATTTGCTTGCGCTTCCCAGTGGGTGAACCAACCAGCACAACCACGGCAAGCTCACAGGCAACGTCGCTGCTTCCGTGTACGGCCAGGGCCAGCCGCGCGCCATCATGCGCGCCGTCAAGGTTCTGATCGGGAAGGTGTTTCGCACGCGGTCGACCCCCGCAACAGTTTTGGTTCACCCTCGGGGTAGGGGGCTTGCGAGGACGACTACACATTGCAACGGTGCCCTCGTGGGGCTCGTTAGGACGACAAGTTCGGAGGTTGAACGTGGCGACCCGGAGATTGCTATCTTGTCCGAATAAGCTAGTCGACCCAGCCATGACGCCGACGGACGAGGTAGATCTTCACAGCGACTCTGGATGCCGGCGCTTGACAGGCGATGCCGATGACGAGGGGCAAGGGTACGCCACCCGCGGGGGCAAACCGGCGACGGCGCGGCAACGCGCTGTACGGCAGTGCCGGCATCCACCGCGTGGACGCATATTGCACGTCAAATCGACTCCGCGCGTCGAGCTTGTCAGCGGAAACGCTGGCTGCGGTGCATAATCTCGAGGATTGTCAACCGACGATTGTCAATCTACACGAACTCAAGACAGGAGCCACCATGCTTTTAGAAGTGTCCAAAAACGTAACAGAAGGGGATGGCCTCTTTCTAAAGCCGCCTGTTACGATCGATGCCGCATCTGTTGGCAGATTCCCATGTAGTAAGGTCTTGAAGAAGCTCGCTGACTCTACCCTACTTGGTTACATCAATTGGATGCGATGGATGATGGAGAGGATAGTCGTACATTGTGTTAAACGGTGCGACACGAGTGACATGAACTGCAGACGGACACACAAAGGGCAGCATTGATCTTGTGTCTTTGTTGCAGGCAATGTCAAGTGAGGCCGTCGTTGAATAGGATATAAAAACACGCGCCACACCGCGGCGCAGGAGGCACGGTTCTGAGCTCGGCCCCACATGGGGTCGCAGACTACGACGCGCGAGGCTTGGCGACAAGCGCTCGGCAGCGGACACCCGACGCCCGTTCCTGTGATGCTTGGCGACAGGCGTTTGGCCGCAGGATCTAACCATCCATATGTCTTGCGTTTCCTAGCGCGCGCACCTTGCCTGTTCAGCTTGGGTTGCCGATCTGCAGCCGCCTGTCCTGATCGCGCCGCTGGTGAATACCATCAGCACAATTGTAAATAGTTGCGTTTGGCAGCAGGCTATTGACCTGCTGCGGTAAGCTACACGGCAGGGTGTAGGAGGTGCGGCTGTTGGACCAGCATCGGCCGCCTTCGGCGAGGAGCGGCCTTCGCTCGCCACTTGCGTCGGTCAGTGGGTGAGTTTATACATGTTAGTACACACAACTGTCTGGTGTCACGTCTGAGCAAGACAGGAGCCACCACGCCCCCAGAAGTACTCAAGAACGCAATAGAAGGAGATGGCCTCTTTCTGAAGGCGACTGCGACGATCGATGCCGAGTCGGTCTGCAATTCCCGATGTAGTGACGACTTGAAGGAGCCGACTGAAGGCACCCCATTTGGTCGCACCAGTTGGGTACGATATACGATGGAGGGGACAATATTACATTGTGTTAAGTGACGCGATGCGCGTGACATGGCCTACAGGCAGGCACGCAAAGGGTAGTACTGATATTGCGCTAGTGTTGCAATTAATGTCAGGTGAGCAGGTCGTTCAAGCAGGATGTAAAGAAGTACGCGCCACACCGTACTGCAGAAGGTACGGTTCTGAGCCTGGCCTCACACGGGGTCGCAGACTACGACGCGCGAGGTTTGGCGACAAGCGTTCGGCAGCAGGCACCCGACGTCCGTTCCTTTGATGCTTGGCGACAGGCGCCTGGTCGCAGGCTCTAACCATCCATATGTCTTACGTTTCCTAGCGCGCGCACTTTGCCTGTTCAGCTTGGGCTGCCGATCTGCAGCCGCCTGTCCTGATCGCGCCGCTGGTGAATCCCACCAGCGCCATTGTAAATCGCTACGTGTGGCAGCAAGCTGTTTACTTGCTGCAGTAAGGTACAGGAGGTACGGCTGCTGGCGCACCAACGTCCGTTCTCGGCGAGGTGTGGTTTTCGCTCGCCCCTTGCGCCGATAAAGGAGTAAGCTTATACATGTGAAAACACACATGTCTGGTGTCATACCTGAGCAAGAGGAACGCCATGCGCTTCGTGCTCCTCCCCTCTCGACTGTAGAAGGGGGCTGATTAGTTGTGCGAAGAAGCGGGGTCAAAGCGGGAGCGAGTGCATCCGCGACCGTTTATCTTCAGATGCCGACATCAGGATATGATGAGTAAACATGACGACTAGTGGGGCACAGGAAAAGATACTTATTCATCCTGACATCGTGACACCGTGGCGCGTCTCAGTATTTCGGCACCTTTTCGGCTCTCCGCCCATGCATTGCGAGGAAGCTCCAGGCGGGAACCATGGTTTGAGAGGGCATTACAAGGATGTCTCCAACGATGACAGCAGTCGCAAGGTTTGCCGTGCGTTCGCCCCCCTGCTCGGGAAAGCCCCAATCGCGAGCGCAGCGCAAGGCGCGAGCAGGAGCCGCGCGCATTTCGCAGATTGCAGGGAATTCATGAGCGGTAGACACATTCTTCAGGCTCGCCGCGGGAATGTCGCGCGCAGCCAATACACCAAATCTTCATTATTTGATTAGTTTGCCGTGG